TAATTTCATGGCTGCTGTCTGCATCTGCAATGATCATGCCTCCATATCTTTCCCTTCTATGTGCTAGGAGGTGATGGGACCAGCCTTATCCTCCAATCTTCTTTTAAGCCCTGTGTTTTGTTCTCCAGTTCCCCTCAGTCCCAGCCAGGGATGGAAAAGAATGTCAAAGCTATACTTTGGAGGACTAACATTTCCCCAGCCCTGTTTTAAAGTCACCTAAGGGTGTGATGCCACAGCAGGACAAATATGGATTGATCTGCTGCAATTTGCAGCCATGGAAATCAGGCTTCCTGGGTGAATTCTCTTTAGCCGTCCAGATGTGCATGGGACAAAAGGAGCAGAAGCAGAATCATGTTGAAAACCTATTATCTCCAGGCTGACTCCCCTATCTCCCCATCACTATCCCATTACTCCCCACTACTATCCTGCTGTGGTGCCACTTTTGACTGTACCCCATTCCTCCTTCCTGAAGAGGGAGAATGCTTCACATTTTTTCCTAACTGGCTGGGAGGGAAGGCTGGATGATCTCTTGAGTTTACTGCTTGTCCTTTTCCACCTGGGGGTGTGTGTGGGGCAGACAGGTGGGTAGGCAGCTGCTCACAACCTCGGGAAGGGGAAATGATGGGTCCCCTGTATGCATCTGCCCCTGCTTCTGTTGACTCCTGCAGTTCTGGACCGCTACAGTAGATGCTGCATTAACAAAGTCCTAACTGTTAGAGTTTTGTTTGCAATCTCACATGCTGTCTGTGGTTTGTGTGATCGGGAGACTTTTCTGGGCTGGGGCAATTGTTTTTCCAGCACTAACTGATACGTAGTTCCTTCCAGCCTTTGATTTCAAAAGTAGCCCCTGTGTGCTGCTTGTGCATACCAAAAAGGAATTTTATCAGAAATTCAAAGCTCTGCAACACTAACAAGTACAGTACTGATCACATTCTCCCCCCCCCCCCCCGCTGCATTGCTTTAACATTTGGATTGCCCTTTTTCACAAGCACTTTTGGGTGATTTCACAGGTATTCATCCCACTATTTGGTCTGCTGGGGAGGGGGCAGGGGAGAGAGACAGGCTAGGGCACTGCTTTTTCCAGTGACTAAACCACGTAAGTGCCAGAGTGACCCAGCTTGTCCTCGGAGCCTTCCTACCTGCACCTTACTGGCTCTCTGGCAGGGGCTTCTCTTTTTCATTGCTCCATTTTGGTTGGTTTCCAGGATGTGCAATCACTGGGATTGAATCAAAGTGGAAATTCCTGCTTTAAATAGCCCATCCGGTTTCAGTTTTCTGATATTGTTAAGCTTAGCCACTAAATGATACTGGGAAATTAAAAACTTCCTTCGCTCCTCTGTGGAGGCCAGACCGGGGGGGGGGGAGGACAAAGTTTTTTAAAAAGCACAAATGCACCCTACCTTTTGGGGGGGGGCACATTTAAATTAAAAGCTTCCTTCCAGAAGGAGATAGGAGGGGGATTGGTGTGTGTATGCTTTCTTTTTTCTTCTTTTTTTAAAGGGAGGCAGACCAAATAAGGTCACTTGAGATGTGTATACAATATGGATACAAGTATCACACCAAATGGTACATTGGACCTTTACTTGACTTTAAGAAACCCTGTTCAGCACAATCCAGTGGGCTCCAGTTGGGTCATCTAAGCCAAGCCCTTTCTCTGTGAAATATTTCTGGAAGCGCAGCTGCCTCCAGAACGATAGATCGTATCAATGAGTAAACACAACACAGGAAGAAGATGGCAAGGCAGAAAAATACTGTATAACAAATCTAGTTCTGTGAAGGTAGGAGGGTCCCTTCCTCCCCCCATGCATACGTGTGCAAGAAATACTGCAGCCAAACTGTGATCTCTCTGCCAAGCTGTATATTTCTTACTTACTCTTCTGACACACCTTACAGACTGTGAAAGGATCCTCTGTCTGTCCCGTCTGAGGTGCTGTCAACTGATGGCCACTTGAAAGGTATTTTGTTTGTTTGGGTTCGGTCTGCTGAAGATTAAATTCAGTTTACAGTAGTGGAGGATACAGTAAACACTGTTTAGTAGCTTGCAAAGGAATGGCCACAGTCAGAGTCAAAATGCGCTCGACCTGCATTGACCTTACGGAAGACAAGGCCTTGCCAGGACCTACTTAACTGCTGGCTCACACCCTTTGCCATCAAGGGAACTCATGATCCTTCCTCAGTTGGTATGTGTTAGCTGCTCACAAGGTCTCTGCTCAGGCCCCAGACATTTCTAACAACACAAACAAGGAAACCTCTTTAGGGCTGCTCTGCAGAACACTTTTGTCCGGAGCTACAGAGGTTCAACGGCCCCGATTTTTCTACAGAAATCTGACCACTGAAGAAATGGAGAATGATAGATGCTGTGGACTTCGTTTGGTGAAAGGGAATACAGGATTCTGAGGATTTTATTAAACACAGCTTCTACAGGTTTCTTGTTCTGTGGCATCAAGTCAGAACTGACTTATAGCGACCTTAGTAGGGCTTTCAAGGTACGTGAGGTATTTAAAGAGTAGTTTTACCAGCTTCTATTTCCCCACCCCCCACCCCCTCGAGTTTCCATGGTCAGTGGAGATTCAAATCCTGTTCTCCAGAGTACTAGTCTGTCACTCGACCCACTACATCATACTGGGAATGGACAATTTACCCCAGCATATTTAGAAAGCCTGTGGCATCCTGACCTTACAAACATTTGCTGTGCATGCTGAGCATTCAGGAAGAGAATTAATTGGCCTTCTTAGTTACTTTGCTCACACTACAGAATTACTTTCCAAACAAAGCTCATTCAGTCCATTCCTCAATACACAAATTAAGAGGTTAATATAGAAAGAAAATGGAAAGGAGCTCTTGCTATTGTTGCTGTTTATTGCTGTAGTCTTATTTTATGGTGCTCCTGCTATTAAAAGGGACGTGGTGGCGCTGCGGGCTAAACCGCAGAAGCCTGTGCAGCAGGGTCAGAAGACCAAGCAGTCGTAAGATCGAATCCACGCGACGGAGTGAGCTCCCGTCGCTTTGTCCCACCTCCCGCCAACCTAGCGGTTCGAAAGCATGCAAATGTGAGTAGATAAATAGGGACCACTTCGGTGGGAAGGTAACACCGTTCTGTGTCTAAGTCGCACTGGCCATGTGATCACGGGAGATTGTCTTCGGACAAAAACACTGGCTCTATGGCTTGGAAACGGGGATGAGCACCGCCCCCTAGAGTCGAACACGACTGGACAAAAATTGTTAAGGGGAACCTTTACCTTTACCTTTACCTGCTATTATTGGGTTGTTAAAGGAACAGTGGGGAAATCTTGGCAAGGGTCTTCTGAATTTGCTTTCATGCCAACTTCCAGAAGAGCAAGGGGCAAAGAAATCCATCCTTCTGTCATGGGTGGAAAGCCTGTCTTCCTCCAGATGTCCTCGGGCTGTATATCCCAGCATATAATATCATAATTGGCCATGGAGACTGCGATTCAATGTCTAGATGACAGCCTGTCCATTATTGACAGGTAGGTCAGTTGGTGAATAAATCAATAGATACAGTCACACATGTCATGTACTTGCTGTAGCAGGTTGCAGCTTCTAGATGCCACAAGTCCCTTCATTGGTTTTGCTGGAACAGACTAACACAGGTGCTCCTTAAAAAATACATACGATCATCAGAGGAGGCCCTCCTCTCCATCCCATTGCCAGCACAGTCACAGCCGATGGAGACACAAGAGAGGGCCTTCTCTGTGGCTGCTCCGAGGATATGGAAGGCTCTCCCTCAGGAGGTCAGGTTGCCCCCCCCCATTCCCTTTTCTCCTTCTGCCCACAGCTGAGCCCCATCTTTTCAGGCAGACTTTCAACAATCATGAGTGAGTCCTTGAGTGCCATTTTTTTTTCAGTTTAGGTGGTTTTAAATATTTTACATGTTTTTCATTGTCCACTGTATTTTAATCAGCTGCATAGTTTAATTGTTTTTAATGTATAACATATTGTACTACCAGATAGGCGGGGTATAAATCAAATAAATAAATAAAATAAATAAATACAGCAGGCCCGAGAAGCCAGCCCTCCAAGCTCTGTTTAAAGCCTCCAAGGAAGGGGGGGGCTCCAACCCTCCCAAATAAATAAATAAATAAATATCGACCCATTAATGCAATACACTATTCTGGGTATTTTTCGGTAGTTAAAATCAACCAAACAGACAAAAACAAAATGGCAAAAGTGTATAAAGCTCGCACACATCACTGTACTTTGTAATAGTTCCTAGTAAAGGCACTGCCTATTTATGGGTATTGGATTTTGGATTGATGTACAGTATCATTTTGCATCCCTTATTCTACTGCTTTTATCCACACGTATGGCTCCTTACATTTACATGAAATTCAAAGACCAGTTAACACAGGAAACATAAACCCACTGGGTGACAGGGCAGCCGGAGAGGAGAGGAGGGGTCTCTTTGGAGTGCCCCAGAGCGCAGGCTCCACTCTCCCTCTCTCCCTCCCTCCCTCCCTCCTTCTCTGTCTCTCTCTCTCTCTGTCAACCCACAGTGGCAGCAGCAGGTTCACACTGGAAACTTCATTGCTAGGACTTCCCAGGTGAAATTTCCAATCCCCCCCTGCCTTTTCTCATTTTCACGAGACATTTTGCTGGGGATCCTGGGAAGATTATTTCCTGAGAAGGGTAAGGCAATTCTAATGCTGTTTGTACTGAATCTGATTTCTTTCTCATGTTCCTAAGAAGTGGCTTTGATTTTTGGTTTGGTCTCTTCCCCCCCCCCCACATCCCCTGCCCTTTGTATTTAAGACCTGAAATGTCCTTTGAAATTTGCTTACTTGAATTACTGCTAAGCTATAAAATCTGCTATGTCTGTCAAAAGGCCATAGACACTCGAGTTAGAGGAGACCTTTCTTTTACTGTGTTTTGCTGAGCCGTTGATGCAGCTTAACTTGGTGGGTGTTTTATGTAAGGAAGCCCCCCCTCATGAGTCTGAACCAGATTTCACGGGACTGCCATTTTCCCCATGAGCATATCCTGACTTTTACAAAGTTATGAATGAAGGACGGTGCTCAGAAATCTTGATGAAATCATTATATGAAAAACGGAACAGCAAACTCTTAAACAGACCCCAGGCTAGGTATCCGGCTATATTTAAAAGCTTGTTTTCCTTGGCAAAGAGCCTCCAGTTTAGACAGCTGAGACCATTTAAATGTATCTGAAGTACCTTAACTATTCTGGACTTGTGGCAGTGAAATTTAAATGGAACTGATCCTAACCACCATGTGGAAGTGGCTGCGAATATTGGGGGCGGGGGGGCAGGGTTAGGGGGCAAAGAAGGAGATCCCAAAGAAAGAAACACACTTTAAACTGGCTGTGTCTTAAAATGGTAAGTGGCGTTAGGGCTGGAGAGGACTGCTATTATTGGAAATCTCTGATAGGTTTCAACAGATGCAGCAGGAGGAATGCAGCTGGGCGGGGAGGAGCAGCTGATCCACCACGCTGGCAAAGCAACCTTCTGGGGTCTCGGCTGTTCGCTCTGGCGTGCGGGCAACACCGATGCTGATAACGCGCACAGTTCTCCAGCAGGAGAGGGAGTAGTGGGAACCAGGCTCCCTCTCAGAGACATACTCACCATACCTGTCTGTCCTTAAAACGCTGAAGAGTGCATTTTCTAAAAACCTGACATGACGTCCTTCAGCAAGAAAGCAATAACCTCTTTACTCACCAGTTTAGAGAAAATTATATCCTTGTTTATTTTTTTAAAAAAATTATTTAGATTCATGCTTCCTTTAAAGCCTACTGGCACTTATTTGAGGGTGCATATACTTTCATCTTGTTTTTGAACGTATACATGAAATTCAACAAATCACATCCAACATAAATATATTTATTTTATTTAACATGGTTTTTTTTTCATATTTCTCTCACCCATCCTCTAGAGATCTTGTAAGGCATGTCATTGTCATGAAGTTGAACTTCATGGGTGAATGGGAATTACAACCCAGACCCTAGACCTACTTCTTAACTCTTATTAAGAGCCTCGTGGCGCAGTGGTTAAACAACTGTACTGCAGCCAAAACTGTGCTCATGACCTGGGGTTCAATCCCAGGTAGCCGGCTCAAGGTTGACTCAGCCTTCTATCCTTCCGAGGTCGGTAAAATGAATAAACAGCTTGCTGGGGGGAGGGGGCAATGTGTAGCCTGCATAATTAACTTGTAAACCGCCCAGAGAGTGCTTGAAGTGCTATGGGGTGGTATATAAGCAGCACACGTTGCCTTTGGCTTTTTTCCCCCTTATACAAAGGCAGAAGTTGGAAAAATTATCTTGTCTGACAACATCTTCCACAATCCCCCAGCCAGCTCAGCTGATGGCCAGGTTGACTCAGAGATTTTGGAAGCTGTTGTCCAAAAGAGTAATGTGTTCCAGCTCTGTTTGCAGAACATCACATCCTGTGGTTCACACATATGGGCATTGCAATGTGCGGTCCTTTACCACTCCAGTATCCCTGATAAGGCAACAGAGAAACCCATACGGACTGTGCAGAGGCTGCATACCTGGATCCTTGTCCAATGGAGAAAAAGCAGCTGTTTTTTCACGGAATGTTCCCCATGGTTCTGATTGCTTAGCAGAACATCTAACTATGGTCAAGTCAGGCCACACGGATACATTATACATTTTGAGAGAACTGGGAATCAACCCTGTATTAATTACTCAGGACTGCCTTTGGCTGATTTTAAGGTGGTATAAAACAGACAAAACAAGATCAACTGCACGTACTGTAGCTTGCCGAAGGAGTAGGCATGGCATTGGGTTTTGTGAAGGAGTTCAATGTTCTTTCAAATCCTCGATTGCTACATAGTTTGTGAGCATAAAATAAGAAAGTAGTTCATTTCCACCAAGTAGAAACACAGCGTGTGTTGAAATGTGTGCATGGCTCTGGCACAGGCAAATTGTAGAAGTATTATAGATGTGAGGAGCAGTTATCTGAACCTGTTCTTAGAGATCTGTTTTCTCATGCTTACTTCTTTACTTGCATTGCAATAAACTTATGGGAGGGGAAGCGAAAGCAAATCTTTTGCTTACAATTGTTATTTAAAAGACCTGTTCCACCCAGTCTAATAAATTAAATTTAAGAGAGAACATCCATGTACACAGTTTTAATTATTATTACAAATGTTGTATGCTGCTTTTTCTGGCATTCAAGATGGTCAAAGTCATTTGATCAATGTAATAGAAAACCAGATTAAAAAAATAAAGGCAACTTAAAACAAATAGTTTTAAAAAGCAACTAAGAATCCTTAAACATTCAACCAATACAATGATGTCTCGACTTATGAACGTCCCGACTTACGACCATTTCGAGTTACAACCAGCTCCGGCTGCAAAATTTTGCTTCAGCTTGCAGCCAGAGCTTTGAGTTGCGACCAGAAAAAGGCAGGGGGAAAAGGCGGGGAATTCAAATTTGCTAACCATTGGTAGGCGAAGAAGCTGCTTCTTTGTAGCTCTTTCGCCCCAACCGCTAGAGTGAGTGCGTCGGAGGAGGCTTGGGACTGCCTGGTAAGGTAAGGTGCTGCTTTCTGCTTTTTAAAAACTGTTCTGGGTGGGTTTTGCAGGGCGGGTTTGGTCTGGAGGGGTTATGTTTCTGTGCTGTGTTGTTGTTTTGTGTTTTTTTGGTGATTTTTTTTTTTGCCGCCCCAGCGCCTTCTGATGCGGCTTGCTCTGTTGTTTATTTTTGGTTTGGTTTTGTTTTTAAGCCCCAGCGCCTTCAGGGCTTGCTCTGTTGCTATTTTTTGTTTTTTGTTTTTCAGCCCCAGCGCCTTATTTTTGTTTTTTTGTTTTGTGTTTTGTTTTGTTTTGTTTTTTGTTTTTAAGCCCCAGAACCTGCTCCGTTTTTTTTCAGCCCCAGTGCTATGGGTCTTGCAGTGTTTTATTTTTATTTTATTTTTGGGGGGTATTTTTTTCCTTCTGGGATGAATGAATTGCATTCCAATGCATTTCAATAGGAAATGGTGCTTCAACTTACGACCATTCGAGTTATGACCATCTTCTGGAATGGATTATGGTTGTAAGTCGAGGCACCACTGTATAATAAAACAACCAACCAGTACAAAGACATCAGGGGATATCAATAAAATATTGGTATTCATTCAGCATTATATGAAGCTAAGATAAAGCCACCAGAGATACACTGTGGAAGGTGGGGTCAGAAACAAGCACCCAGGTCTGTATTTTCCACTATCTAGAATCCATATTTCAAAATTATTTGAATACATACATAGTTCAGTGGAGGTAGAGTGAGAAGTTTGTACAGAATTGTGATGTAGCAAAATCTTACGTAATAGAATTGAAAATAATCACATACCATACTCTTATCAAACTTGAAATTCTGGGCTACACCAAAGCTCTGGATATTTAAAGGCTGTAAAATAATCTGGTATAACCTCAGGCAGCTCAAAAAAATTGCAGCCTGATATAATCCAGCTATTCCTAACAGGTATAATCTAGACACATAATTAGTTCACATATTTAGATTATGATTAAATTTATAATCCCACCTTTCCCCCCAAAATAGTGTTCATAAATCAAATCGAATAAAACTCTAATATAGCACCCAAGTGATATCCAAGCTGCATAAATGCCGTTTACCCAAGGGCAAGTATTAATAATAGAACAATATGCACGCTAGAAGTACATGTAAGCCTGCTACAGCAGGTATTACAATGGAAAATTAAGAACACTCTAGGACAAGCCAGTGTGTCATGGAGGAATAATATTTCCATGACCTCTAAGAGGATGATCAAATTTTGAATAGATAGGCAAAGTCTGCAAATGAGTATCTACCCAGAAACTCCATCCTGGCTGTGTGATTTTTGGAAAGAAAATAGTAGTTCCCTCTCAGTAAATGACTTTGTCCACCACAATAGGAAGAAGAAAAGCAGTATCTGTTTTTATTCATGAAGCACAGGAACATCTCCAGACTGAACTGACTAAATAGGCATACTACAGTTCTAAACATCCTGAGACCTTTGAATTCAGTGGGACTTACTTCTGAAGAAATGGAATTAGGACTAGCTGGTCATGTTTATTTTTAAGTTGTTCCACATCATCACAAAGACTACTATAACTTTATTTCACATTACATGCACTTGATGTGAAGTAGAAATGTTTAGAACATAGTCACTTACAACAGGTCATCTATCCAGTGAATTTCATAACTGAACAGGAGTGAAAAGACTGACATGAGATAACTACTACATCTGTGCATCACGATCAACTGTAGTGTGCTTTAGTGAAATCTGTCTTGCTCTGATATAAAAAGATACCTCTTCCAATAAATCACAGTTTGTTAACCAACCACAAACCACAGTCTGAAATCATGGTTTGTTGTTGATTTCTTTAAATCATGACCTTCAAACCTACAAGCACAGCTTACAAATGGCTTCTTTTCCCACCTGCCCTTCTAAAGACAGGCACATGGAAGAAAAATAGATGAGAAATGCGGAAGACAAGCCAGTTAGTATAACAATCTCTCATGCAGTTCACAGCTTGATCAACAAACCATGATAACCTCAGTCTTATTCAGGCATTACAGTACTTCTATTTGTCTTCAGCTCGCAAGTAGGTAAACACCTAGCTCTGCCTTTCCCCCACTGTCACTTTCCTCAGTTGGAAAACAACAGGCCTGAAGGGAACACTGGGAAATCAGAGTTCTTGCTCATGTAGAGCGTCTCTATGCAAACTGGAACATCTCCAGATTCAGTGCTTTCCATGTGATGAGGTTTCATGCTATGCACTTCTCTGTTTATATGTTGAATACAGGTAGGTAATTACTGCTCAGATTAGGCATGCCTTATTGTGATGTGCAGATACTGTATGTCCACCGTCATAATGCAAACTACTAGAAGTGTGCTGAATTGTCTACAGCCACTGGGAGGGATTCTGAAAATAGCAGTCCAGCACCACAGATCTGCACACCTTGTAAACTAGCATTTACCAAGGAGTAATTAACCAGGCACAAGAAGTGATGGGGTACAGAAGTATTCTATATCCTCTTATTCTCATGTTTTCTTCTCGTTCTTGGTTCTGGTCGCTAGACACAAGGATCCGTTCTGATCTTTTCGAGTGAGATCCTTAAATGGCAGTACAGGTCTAAAAATGTTGTTGTTGTTGTTCTGTCTTGTTTGGTGTCTAGCACGCTCTTGGCTGTGATATTATTATTGCAGTCATGGCGCCCAAGAAGAAGAACGTCAAAAAGAGCAAGACAGACATCAATGAACTGACCATCATCGTGGAGGATGGGCCCCTCAACAAACTGAATGGTCTGAATGGCCTTCTGGAAGGAGGGAATGGCTTCAGCTGTGTTTCAACAGAGGTTTCTGATTCCCTCTATAGTCCCAATCTCCTGGAAGGATTATGCAGAATGAGGCTGGAAAACTTTCTCTGCGATTTAATCATTGGTACCAAAACCAAGTCCTTTGATGTTCACAAAGTGGTGATGGCTTCATGTAGCGATTACTTCCATAATATTTTAAAGAAAGATCCATCTACTCAAAGAGTGGATCTCAATGATGTGTCCCCACTAGGTCTAGCTACTGTAATTGCATACGCCTACACTGGGAAGCTCACACTGTCACTGTACACTATTGGTAGTATTATCTCAACTGCCATTTATCTTCAGATTCATACCCTTGTGAAGATGTGCAGTGATTTTTTGATGCAAGAAATCAATGTGGAGAATAGCATGTACATTGCCAACATTGCAGAAACATATGGACTAAAGAACACCAAGGAAGCAGCCCAGAAATTCATTCGAGATAACTTCATTGAATTTTCTGAATCAGATCAGTTCTTGAAACTTACTTTTGACCAGATCAATGAACTACTTGCAGATGATAATTTGCAGTTGCCTTCTGAACTTGTTGCATTCCAGATTGCAATGAGATGGCTAGAATTTGACCAAAAAAGAACAAAATATGCTGCTGATCTTTTAAGCAACATTCGGTTTGGCACCATCTCAGCCCAAGACCTGGTGAATTATGTCCAGACTATACCTAGAATGATGGAAGATGCAGATTGCCATAAACTTCTGGTGGATGCCATGAATTATCACTTACTTCCATACCACCAGAATACACTGCAATCTAGAAGAACAAAGATTCGTGGAGGATTACGAATCATAGTTACAGTTGGGGGACGCCCAGCTTTAACGGAGAAATCCCTTAGTAGAGACATTTTGTACAGAGATCCTGACAATGGGTGGAAGAGGCTTACGGAGATGCCAGCCAAAAGCTTCAACCAATGTGTCGCTGTGATGGATGGATTTCTCTACGTGGCAGGTGGAGAAGACCAGAATGATGCCAGGAATCAAGCTAAGCATGCAGTCAGCAATTTTTGCAGGTAACTGATTATTTATAGGGGTGGAGAAACATTGCATTCTGTGCAGAACAGTTCTGCAGAAAGAAAGTGGGAGGGAAGGAAGGAGAGAGAGAGAGAGAGAATGGATTGAAGGCATACAGAATGCAGAACTGGAGAACAATCTTTACTAAGGGTGGTTATATTTATCTATCAATCAAATACATATATATACTGGTAATTGATAGATACCACCCAGGAATTAAAACCAGAGAGAAAAATTACTTTTTGCCAAAATTAATTTAACAGTGTCTTGGATTATTAAAATATTAACTCTAGAATAGGGGACATGGTGGCGCTGCGGGTAAAACTGCAGAAGCCTCTGTGCTGCAAGGTCAGAAGACGAAGCAGTCATAAGATCGAATCCATGTGACAGACTGAGCTCCCGTCGCTTGTCCCAGCTCCTGCCAACGTAGCAGTTTGAAAGCATGTAAATGCAAGTAGATAAATAGGTACCACCTTCGTGGGAAGGTAACGGTGTTCCGTGTCTAGTCGTGCTGGCCACATGACCACGGAAACTGTCTTTGGACAAAACACGCTCGCTCTATGGCTTGGAAACGAAGATGAGCCCCGCACCCTAGAGTCGGACGCGACTGGACTAAATGTCAAGGGCAACCTTTACCTTTACCTTTACCTAACTCTAGAATACACCTGAATTCAAGAGCTGTTGATGATGATTAAAGGAAAATAAGAAACTCATTGCAGAATATAAACATAAAATTTGATTCAAAACAAATTTGGAAATAAGATAAAGCACAAAACAAATGGTTTTGTTTTATTACCCCTTTTTAAAAAAATTGTCATTGCAATATGTTGTAAAAGTAAAACATTTCTCTTATGCTATAAAACATGTGCAGTGAGGACAAGGAAAAAGGAATCCCTTAGTAGAGGCATGTTATGCAGAGATCCTGACCATTCATTTTTGTTTGTTTGTTTAAGAGGAGAATATGATTCAGATGGAAGTAACGCGGCAGCCTTTTCTTTTATATCCTAAGTTGTCCCTTTTCCCTCAAATCTGTCATTTTATCTATCAGAAAAAATGTACCCATCCTGCCACAGAGTTCTTAGTGATTCCATCATCTTATAAAAGCAGGAGGAGAGGACCCTGGTTATTTTATGCAGTTATTCAATTTATATCCCGCTTCTTCCCTGCCTTGCAAAGTGAACTCAGGGAAGCTGATCAATATATATCAATTGCCAGCATTTATATACTGTATATATTATTAGATACCAAGAAGACTTTCTGTTATAAACAAACAGAATCAAAATGGTTGTCACATCAAACCTGTTCAGCTCTAGAATACACCTGAATTCAAGAGCTGTTGATGATGATTAAAGGAAAATAAGAAACTCATTGCAGAATATAAACATAAAATTTGATTCAAAACAAATTTGGAAATAAGATAAAGCACAAAACAAATGGTTTTGTTTTATTACCCCTTTTTAAAAAAATTGTCATTGCAATATGTTGTAAAAGTAAAACATTTCTCTTATGCTATAAAACATGTGCAGTGAGGACAAGGAAAAAGGAATCCCTTAGTAGAGGCATGTTATGCAGAGATCCTGACCATTCATTTTTGTTTGTTTGTTTAAGAGGAGAATATGATTCAGATGGAAGTAACGCGGCAGCCTTTTCTTTTATATCCTAAGTTGTCCCTTTTCCCTCAAATCTGTCATTTTATCTATCAGAAAAAATGTACCCATCCTGCCACAGAGTTCTTAGTGATTCCATCATCTTATAAAAGCAGGAGGAGAGGACCCTGGTTATTTTATGCAGTTATTCAATTTATATCCCGCTTCTTCCCTGCCTTGCAAAGTGAACTCAGGGAAGCTGATCAGAAATAGAAATCTCAAATCTGAATGAGAAAAAATGAAATGGAATCATAAAAACAGGATTAAAAGCGTGTCAATAAAAAGACCATATTGTCCATAACATTTACACCAAATAAATTTTATTAGATACCAACAAGACTTTCTGTTATAAACAAACAGAAACAAAATGGTTGTCACATCAAACCTGTTCAGTTGGCTTGCCTAATCCACAAGCTGAGAGAGAAGTGATTAGCCCACCCCATCATGACATTCTTCACGTGGCGAGTGTCATGTCCGAAGAGATTTCTGCTCACATGTGAGCTCTCTATAGGAACCAAAACCCTTGTTTTATTGTGCTTCTGCTCACCTATAGAGCCTAATGTAAGCAGGAGTTGCTTTTCCAATAAATTGCTCTCCCTTTGAAGAAAGCAGTGATAGAGAGAAGAGGGACTTAGTTGCTGTTCTCTACACATGTGTATCACAGTCAGGGAAGGGATAACTAAATACGTGTTATGCTCCTGGAAAATCTAGAACACTCAGAAAGGACAGAGTACTGTAGTTTGGTTAAGAGTCTTGCATGCTATCCAATCTCTGTCTTCCCCTGTCCTCATGGAGGAAAAAAGAGTACATGCTTTTGGAAGCAGGATGTATTTGCTGCACAAAGACCTGGTAACAGGTCAGACTGGGAAGGAGTTGTTTGTCTTGGTTGGCCACAGCACCACATCCCTTTCAAAACGGCTTGCAGTTATAAAAGTAACTTACCGTAGATGCTTCACAGTTCTCATTCCAACAGAAAATGGCATAACTGAAATCCCAAGTGTATTATCTCCAGGCCAATGGAGATTCCAGCATGTGCCTATCACAGGAGACCTTCCCTCACAAGACATCTTTTTGTTTGAAATGTCCAAGCACCCGAAAAGGAAAATATTTGATTGCTGGCATAATACTTCCACATAAGAAAAAATGATGTAGACTGTGTGTATCTATCAATGTATTACATTTCTATCACACCCAAGGAGAAGGATCTCTGGGTAGTATTTTTCTAGGCAGGGGGAGACTTCTGTTTCTCCTTCAGGCGGAATTCTGAGAAATACAGCCCAAAACGGAAGGTTACAGAGCAGTTTTCAAGACTGACGCAAGGGCCTCTGTCACCATCCTTTGCTTTTGTCCTGATGCTACCTGGGAGTTGCAAGGCCCCATGGGACATTAGCCTCTTTTTCCCATGGGGCTTTAGGGAATGCTCCTCTCAAAGAATTATCTGTCTCATGAACCCTGGCAGCCGCCATGGAGCTTTGCCACTCCCTGACAACACCAAAGCACTTTCCCTCTTGAACGGTGAACAATTGTGACAGAGGCCCATACTGTAGGTTGATCATGAGATTTGCTCTGTAAATTTCTGTTTGGGGCTGCATCTCCCATAATTCTTCCTGGGGCAATTCTGAGAGTCATAGCCCCAAAACTCTGAAAGTCCCATCCCTATACTGTTTTCTACTCTACTCTTGCAGCAATAGTGTGAGGTAGGCTTGGCTGATAGTGACAGATTGGGGAAGATCAGAGCCCTCCCTAACTTATGTGAAGAGTTTCCATGGATAGTGGAGGATTTCCCCTTCAAATGTATTACTTTCCATGCAAGGCTTTTGATAAAACTGTGGGGGTGAGACTAGAGCGCTCCCTTCTACTTGTGATGTGTATACATGGGAGTCCTAACACCTGAATAGATCTAACACTGAATCATCAAGACATTTTGTTGAGGATGGCCAATGAAATAATCTGACATACCCATCAGGTTTCCCTGCTCCTTCTATGGTCATCTGCAGCTCAGCTCCCACAGCAGCTGGCTGGAGTGGAAGAAGTGGATTCCCCCAGTGACAGCATAAGGTGATGGGTGTTCTCCATTGCACTGCCAAATATTTTGGGAAGGCTTCCTCTCGAATGGTCAGTTAAGACCACCTGCAGTTGCTCCTAACAGACATTAAAATTGCCATACTATTCTATTCTATTTAATTGTCGTAAGCTGTCTTGGGTCCTTTTTAAGGAGAAAGGCAGAGTTAAAGTATTTTAAATCAAATTAGAACAAATACAAGGGAACTAGAAAATCCACAGCTGATCGTCTTATGCTGCTTTTGGCCAGGCAGGGGCATGTTCTCTTTCTCTCTCAGTCTTTTTGTGCAGTCTTAGGTCTCTTCCGCCCATGCCCAATATGCTAACTGCTGTGCTCCTGTTTGGCCGCTCATTACTGTGTGCCAGGTGACCAAAACAACTACAATTGGGTATCATCATCATGCTGTGTACAAAATGTGCATACAAATAGGTACCCATTTAGTTTTGTGAGCCTCTATCTCTCTTAGATCCTGAACATAATCCCAAATTACTAACTACTTATAATTTATTTTATTTTCTCAGTAACAAATATATAACTTAGTGCTGTGCCAGAAACTGTTTCTGCAAGTGGCACTGAAAAAAAACTCTTTGGGGGAGGGGATAAAACCATGCTAAAAGTGAGATCCACCTCTGAGAATCCCTGCCCACTAGAATTTTAAAAAGCCATTTATACACTGTTCTAATATAACGGTATTAAAATACATTTGTAATATAGTGGGAGCTTCATTCCTTTTATGTTGCAATTACAGCTTTTTCTGTTACTCTTAGGGATGTGCCATTTTTCTTCTTCTTTTTAAACTTACAGATCCCAGAATTCTCAATCCTAGGAGTCCCATCTGGCAACCAGACATCTAAATATGGCTCACCTGGGGAAAAGGCCTTAGCTTGGAAGGCTTTGTGACCTAGCACAGGGCTAGCTCTGCCTAGCTTCCTGTTCAAAAAAGGAAGCGGCCCCACTGTTTGCTGAGAGCTTTCTATTTGAACAAGAAGCTTGGAAAAGCTGGGCCTGTGCTAAGCCATGAGAGCCTTCGTCTCAGGTGAGTCACCTTCACGTTCTTGTAGGCATCCATCTCTTGGGTGGGACTCCCAGAATGGAGAATCTGTAGTCCAAAGATGGAAAGAAAAAAGGAAAGAGGGGGGCTGGAGGCGGGAGACAGGGAGGGACACTAGCCCATCCCTGGTTATTTTTTATAATTATTGGGAGGGGGTGATCTCACTAGATGGTAGAAGAGGAATATCACGTTTCAAGGGCTGGCTTGTGTTATGCTTGTTTACACTCATAAAGCACCCCGACTATTAACCTCAGCAGCTACAACAATGAATGTCCGGGCTGAAATCATTATCTCCGTCAAAGTCAGGAGAAATAATCACGGCTGTGAATGCATTTCATACTGCAAAGAGAATGTAATAAAGAAGCCAAGGGTATGTCACTCCACAAAAGCTAATCATTCTCAACATTTCCAATATTACATTTTGAGTTACCTAATTTTGCCCTCCCCACAGAACAGGAAGAACATTCTTCTGGGTGTAAATGTCTTGCTCATTTTTGAGGGGAGGAAAGAGGCCATATCTATATGCATACATTATGTCTAAGCATCCATGCATCGCAGTCAATGGCTGTTTTTCATGATAGGAAAATTCTGGCAAGTACCATTCAGAGACAAATAAAATCAACTTACTCGGAATGGTCAGGTTTTACTAACTGCCAATTCAGTCTGTGATTTAAACCACAATGGTAATGTAAGTTTCTACATATCTTCATTAATAGAGTAGGTAACTACGGATTAGAAACTCAGAATCTGAGTGAATGACTGTTTTTTTTTAAAGTAGTGAATTACATCATGTGTAAACAGTCTACAATGTGCATTTGATTAATGCAACTATCTGTTTTTATAAACAGACAGTGGTTGCCAAGAGAGGTTCAGGTTTCTTACTCAGCCCTAGTTTTGCATATATCTTAACTGGCCACAACAAAATAATTTAATACCACTAAAGTCAAAAGGAAGGTCATTGCCTGATGCACTGTGCAATAAACACACAACACCTATTTTGAATTTTTTTTTTTTTTTTGGTCAAACCTCAGAAAAGTTACCTTTTTTGAACTACCACTCAGAAAATCTTTGGGCCAATAACCATAGCGAATGAGAATGTCAGGGTCTTTAGTAGCTTTCCTAAGCTCTTTACTTGAGACTGCTTTTCCATGTGAAGGCTTCTTCTGACAGATCTTCACACATCCCTGCCTTGGAATAAAGTACTGCTAGCCAGTTGAGATATAAAAAATACGAGTAGTGTTTAGAGAGGCATAATCTATTACAAAAAGATATGGATATGAACTAGTAAGATCTGTTTCCTCCCAAAAAGTAAAGCAGCAGTGGGGCAGGTCAGACTACTTGATACAGATCATTAGAAATGGAACTGCCATGGGAGCTAAAAAAACATTTGTTCATCATAACACAAAGTTTCTATGACTCAACAAGTTGCAAATCAGCTTCTCTTTGCATTTCATGTCTGATTGTTCAGGCATGGGAGCTTAGAAGGAATTTGACACTTTAGGAATAGTGTTTTATCACCTTCTAATTATGAACCTATATAGTTTACCACTGAAGAGAGAGGTGGAGGAGAGTGAGAGAGAAATAATTCTCTCATCAAAGCCATATTCCAGATCTGTTAATTTCTACCCTGAAGCTGCTGTTCTTGGCTTCATAAGGTAAACCTATACTATAGCCCAAAGAGAAGCTTTAGAGAGCTTATCACCAATGTTCTGTATGTTCTGTTGCTGGGAAAGGCTGAGAAAATGTTTCTCTTCTCTTTTTCAAACAAATGGAGGTTGTTCATGAGAAAAGTATTTATTTATTTATTTATTTATTTATTTATTTATTTATTTATTTATTTATACCCCACCTATCTGGACTACTAGACCACTCTAGGCGGTTTTATTTATTTATTTATTTATTTGATTTATACCCCACCTATCTGGACTATCAGACCACTCTAGGCGGTAAACAGAATATTTACATTTTAAAAAAAATTCTAGGAAAGAGATGGCGAAAAGCATTCCATACTTCATCCATTTTTAAATCAGATGCTAAGGCATGACTTTCTGTGTCGGAGTTCAAGAACTGCAAGAACTAAATTGATTCGGTGCCCAAAATGTTCTAAGCAACAGTTTGTGCTTGATGTCAAAACTGAACTAGATATAACAAATAAGGAGTTTTTAGTAATTCCTTGACATAAGTGCCGCTGTTGCAATTAAAGTTTCCAGCTACTTGTGCACATGCTCTCCAGAGAAAAGGGCATTTCCCCGCAGCAAACCAAACGTACCTCAAAATGTGGCATTTTAGAACTTAGAAACGTCACTTTGGACTGCAGCTCTGATGATCCTCAAACAGCAATAGAAGTTGCAGTCAAAGGATATTATTTTCCCAGCAATGGGCACTGCAAGCTAATTATGTTTGGTTCTTCTTTAGCAATAGGAATCTTGTAACTGAAATTAGTATTTTAATGATTGATTTCTCTTTCCTCCCCTCCCTGATTCTTACAGGTACGATCCCCGCTTCAATGCCTGGATCCATCTGGCCAATATGAATCAAAAGCGTACTCATTTTAGTCTGAACGTGTTCAATGGCTTCCTTTTTGCCATCGGTGGCCGTAACTCCGAAGGGTGTCTGTCTTCCGTGGAATGTTATGTTCCTGTAATTAACCAGTGGCACATAAAGGCCCCACTGGAGGTGGCTCGGTGCTGTCATGCTAGTGCGGTAATAGATGGCAGGATCCTGGTCACTGGAGGGTACATCAATAATGCTTATTCCCGGTCTGTTTGCATGTACGATCCTGGTAGCGACTGCTGGCAAGACAAGCCCAGCCTTAGCACCCCAAGAGGATGGCACTGTGCAGTTTCCCTGGGGGAGAGGGTCTACGTCATGGGAGGGTCCCAACTTGGAGGTCGAGGGGAGCGAGTAGATGTGCTTCCCGTGGAGTGTTACAGTCCTTATCCTGGCCAGTGGAATTACGTTGCTCCTCTTCCAACTGGCGTGAGCACTGCTGGGGCTTCCATCCTGGATGGGAAAATTTACCTAGTGGGAGGCTGGAATGAAGTAGAGAAGAAGTACAAGAAATGTATTCAATGCTACAGCCCTGATCGGAATGAATGGACCGAGGAAGACGAGTTACCTGAAGCCACTGTAGGAGTGTCCTGTTGCACCATTGCCATGCCCAATGCTAAGACTAGGGAATCCAGAGCTAGCTCCGTATCATCAGTGCCAGTTAGCATTTAAGGATTTCCGAAGGGCAGGTTTAGAAGAGTTAGGCCAAACCCTTAACAAACAAATGAAAAGTTTAGTTCACACAACTGTGTTGTGATCCTTTTAAAAGAGCCAGAGCTGCCTTTCAGGAAGGGAGCAGAGGAAGGGCAACATTTGCTGGCCAATGGCTTCAAATTTCAGTTTTCAGAATTGGCCAATTTTCATTGTATTGTAATTAAAGTACGGTAAATAGTATGATCTAAGAAATTTAAAGGCATAAAGACAAAGGGTCCCAATTTATCTCTGGACTGTAAATGTTATTTAACTCTAGCTACTCTCAAGATCTGTTCTCCAGGTTGCATAAATTATTTGGATCCGACACCTGAGACGTGGACCTTCAACAGACACCCAAATATTTCAGATAGATATTTCACTGGATACTACCCAGAGTTCCTACTGATGTTAATATCTTCAGATTACTCAATCCTAGATGAGTCTATTCAGCACTAAGATCTACTGAGTTGAGTGGAGCTTACTTCTAGGCTAGTTTCCACTGGAGCCTAGCAGCACAATCCTACTGTCTACTCAGAAATAAGCCCCATTGAGTTTATTGAGCTTATTCCTACGTAAATATAAATAAGACGGAAGTCTATGTCTGCGTTTAAATTTATCTAGATCATACCATATACAGTAGCAATATTTTTGAAGAAAAACTCATAAATATTGCAGTGTTTACCTAATTACTGCATTGCACCAATAATAAAAATTGCTTATACATTAATTTGTTACAATCATCACCTTCCACATGGTATAATTATATTATTACCCTAATGATTCACAACAACAATAAGTAAGTTGAAACTGGAAATGTTCTTTGGTCCAATAAGTAATTTAACATTAAGTATTTATTTTTGGGGTAGAATGAAAGAACTTTAGGGAACCAACAGCTTAATTTAATAAAGCATCACCACTTGAATTGCTTATATTATGCAGTATGGAAGAAGAAGAAGAACCAGGTGCAATGGGATGAGTCTGGTTAACTTGCGTTTGTTTATATACTTGAATAGTCCCTCTCGCTGTCACTGGGTCACTGCTTCAAACCAATCCTGTAAAAATAGAACTAATGTCTGTCACTTCGCCATCTGCTAGAAAAGTGTTATTTGGGGACTTTTGTTTATTTATATTGATGTGGGTGTGGGTGTGAGTGAGAGGTTAAACCAGATAGCTGAATGTTTCCAGGCCTATACAGGTCTTCTCAAATTGTAAGTACCACAGCAGGCATGGGATGGCATGCTCTGATGCATTTGAAAGGAGGTGTTGGAAGGCACCACATGGTTCACTAGTGGGCCATTTGCCAACTCCAGAGGGACCTTTTAGTGGCTGAGATTCTTCAACATTGAACAATATCATTGATCGAACACAAGCTGCCTATGAAACAAGCCTCCAGTGTGACATCAGCAGGATGCAGGTTCACACTGCTTTCCGTTTCCCTGCACTGCTAACGCCATTGTCCCGGGCCCCTTTTCCAATGCTGTGGTGAGTGCTGGGCAGCCCGAATCATAACTGGAATTCAAAGTGACTACCTTGGTACCTGCTTAGTGCCCGTAAATGAGGTACCACTTACATCTTCCACCAGCAGTAAGCCCATTGACCTGTCACTCCAGGAAGAATCAACTAAGAGGAGAAGGAGGTGGAGAAGGGAGGGCAGCCCTCCAACCTATGGAAATGGATTCTGGCACAAGGGTGTCCCCAGTGACTTAGACTGTGGGTCTTGGCAAGAATGCCTGCTTTGGGGATCAAGTGAGCCAAATGATTTGTGCCTGCACTGTTAAAAGATATCTAGAGTAATGTACAACACTTGGTGTGAAGAACATGGAAAAGTGATTCCCCCTCCCCATGCTGGCTGCAGGAATCTGGGACTTCTAGTCCAAAAAAGGAACTTTCCCCATTGTCATTGGTGGGCTACCACATTTATAGTAAGGATCAAACAGAAACTGTACAAGCTAGCCTGATCCTAACCAAAGTGGAATGTATGTGCAAACAGCCTGCAGCAGAGAGGGAGAGCAGGTAGCCCTCCAGATGTGAAGGGAAAAGGAATGTTTAATGTACGTCTTGAATTGAGTGAGGCCTTTAGTCATTTTTATTCCTCATTACTATACATTTCACAGTCCAAACCCCATGAAATGTACTGTACTCACAAGGTTTCTGTTGTGTTAGGAATCCAGTAGGGTAAGAAAGGCACATGTCCAGTAAAGTCCTGTTGCCAGTGCAGAATTGGAAGTGGAGCTTTTGAAAGAAGGGCAATCTGGCTGGTAGCAAGGCTATGTCATCTTGCAGGACTGTCTTTTTGCTTGTTTGCTACAAAGCCATATCAGAAAGAGAGAGGAGTCCTGGGAAAATGTGTATCCTTAGCATTTATATGGCCTACAATGCTTTTTATCCAGTGTGAACGTTTATTAGGGTTGTGGCTTCTTTCCTTGGGATGAGATTCAGATATCATGTCTAAGCAATTACAGTACAACAGAGAGACATTTGGTCTTCTTTGAGTGTAAAATGATGAGATTCAGGGCAGACAAAAGGAAGTGCTTTTCAATAAAAAGCATAATTGGTTGCATTTGTTTTGCTGCCCCAGCATGTGGCAACGATCACTGGCTTAGATTTCTTTAAAGGATGGGGGTGTGGAGTAGGAAAATTCATGGATGATAGTTATTGAAGGTCACCAGCTTTGATAACTACCGTATATAGATCCTCCAGAGTTAAAAGCTGTATATGCTGAATAATCGGTGGTTGAAGAGTTAAAAGCATTAGAGGACTGTGACCTTTAAGGTTATGTGTGGGCTAATGAAAAAGAATCATCCAAATTTTTTAGTAAGTAGGAAGCGGAAGTAGATGGACCAGCAGTATGATCCATCAAGTATCTCCTTATGCTCTTGGGAACACTTGGTATCATTAGTGCTACATAGCAAGTGGCTCTAAGACTCCAAACCTGCCTTCTACAGTGCCGTGCTAATAGGTTGGATGCGAAGTACCATCATTCCCACATAGCTAGCCCACGGGCTGTGTTGGCTGAGGGTGATGGGAACTGCAGCCCAACATGTCACGAACACAACAAGTTGTGGAAGACTTCTCCAAATCACCAAACTGCAGTCCAACATGTCACGAACACAAGTTGTGGAAGACTTCTCCAAATCACCCAAGTGTCCTAGTGAAAGATTTTGGAAAACAGTTTGTGACAAACCATCTGTCACATTGATAATAGATTCCACTGGTTTCCATATTGATAGTTACCTTTTGAGCCACTTCTAATGTGCCCATATTTAAGTTATGTGCTGCCCTTGGAACCATAGTTGGAGTAGTTCCGATCCATTGAATACTCACTGGTGCAAAATTATGTTCTGGAGAAAAACTTCTAAATCTGCAGCTTGCTGTCCGGGTACCTCTGAGCCATATCATTGGAATTACTTACGTTTTTTTCTAATGAAATTAGCTGAGCTGTGTAACTTAAAGAATTATTGCTAAACTTTCTAAGGTTTCCCATCTTTTATACTGACCCTGTTCTCTGTATAAACTGAATATTTATACTGGTTTAAGTCCAGCAGCAAATTGCCAGTAGTTAAGAAGCTGACATTTGTATTACCTGTCACAAGTCAAATCACAACAAGCCTCAAATGGATGCGATACCACATGACTGGTATGTGGAAGTAATACAAGTGCTGATTTCTTAACTAGCACCCATTTGCTACCAGTATTTGTGCTACTGGACTTCATGTCAGCAGGTATAAGTAATAGGATTCTGACTCGAGATGGGGGTATTCGTATACAAATACCCCTGCAGAGGTGGACATAACGAGGGTCCAGCCCCCTGGGGCCAGACCATACACTCACCTTCCATAGTTGTTGCGAGCTCCGCGCTCCCTTCCAATCGCTCCAGAGCTCGTAGCCTGCAAGCCACTCTTTGACCTGGCAGCAGAAGGTGAGTAGACAATCGTTATGTTCACTTGTGTGGGGGTATTCATATATGAATACTCCCATCTCTAATTCTGAGCTTAATTTGGGGAACAGGTTAAACGTTTCTAGGCATGGAGTAAAAGCTTTACTATGGAATCTCTATAGTTCAGGCTATTGTTTAAAAAAAAACAGGTGTTGGAATAGTAAAGGTGACAACCCTTAGTCATGAGAAGAAGGTAAATTGATGCTACTCATATGACAGTTTTATTTATACTGTTTGTGTGATTAGATCTAGCTGATATATTCAGAGAATAAGGATAAATGAATGTTGGATAAAGTACCTCTACATTTCAAATTGTATAAGAGTGGGTTCATCTCTCTGTAATTTGAAAGTTAACACCAATAAACTTCTTGATGAATGAGTTATTTGTGATGTATTAAATTGTAAGGAATAAATGAGGGCAGGTTTCTAATACTGCAAATGAGAAAACGGAAAACTAGATTGTGTACACTGGATTCTTTCTTTTTCACATGTATAACTGTAACACATAGAAATGGAAATTAGCTCTTCTTAGCACTGTTCCATATTATGGCATGCCTTTAAAAGATTATATATGTTTTTAATCACTTTAAATCCAGAATGAAATATCTACATACTGTTCTCATAGGAAGATATAAAAATATTAAGTTATTATTGTACTACAAAGTGTGAAGGGCTGTAGCATGAGCACATGCTAGTGGAAATACAGTGATGCCTCGCTTAACGACGATAATCCGTTCCAGGTAAATCACAGTTAAGCTAAAACATCATAAAGCGAAATAAAAAACCCAATTGAAACGCATTGAAACCCATTCAGTGTGTTCCAATGGGGTAAAAACTCACCGTCCAGCGAAGATCCTCCATACGGCGGCCATTTTCGCTGCCTGTATAGCGAGGAATCTGTCCCTAAACACAACGGGGAGCCATTTTAATTACCCAGTGGCCATTTTGAAACCGCCAATCAGCCAATTAGCTGTTAGAAAAACATCATTTTGCAAAGAAGCCAATCAGTCAATCAGCTGTTAGAAAAACATCATTTTTCAAAGAATCGGTTCCCGAAGCAGGGAACCAATCATTGCAAAGCGAAATTCCCCCATTTAGACCGATTTTGCGATCGCAAAAAGATTGTCGTGAAGCGGATTCATTGTAATGCGGGGCAATCATACAGTGAGGCACCACTGTACAGTAAACCATACTGTAAATTCACTATTTATTCATTAAATCTTCAGTGCAATTTCTAGTTTTCTTTTCTTCCATACTTCTTTTATTTAAATAAATAATGTGAAGCTAGTGTAATGTTATATGAAACATTCATTTGCCACATAAAATAAATATATCTAGAATCTACTTAATATGGTAACTAGCATGGTTGTTTGTTTTTTAAAAATATTTTTGGACTACAAACCTCATAATTCTGTATTCTGGGTGTTCCAAGCCAATGTAGACGTCTGCATTGGCTTGGACATGTTGTAAGAATGGCTGGTGGTTGGATTCCAAAAGGTTTCCTTTAAGGAGAATTAGTGCAGGGACATCGCCCCAGAGGGAGACCACAGCTGTGATACAAGGATATCTGCAAGTGGGATCTGCAGGCCTTAGGAATGGATCTCAACAGATGGGAAACCTTGACATCTGAGTGTTCAGCCTGGAGGCAGGCAGTGCATCACGGCCTCTCCCAATTTGAAGAGACCCTTGTCCAGCAGGCCGAGGCAAAGAAGCAGTCCTGAAAGCAGCCAAAACCAGGGAGCTGGACAGGGGACAGATTGCATTTGTCTGCAGTGTGGAAGAGATTGTCACTCTCGAATTGGCCTTCTCAGCCACACTAGACGCCGTTCCAAGTCCTCCATACAGAGCATATTACCATAATCTCTCGAGACTGAGGGATGCCTAATCTAAGGGTGTTCCACTTGACAGACTTTAACCTGCGGATGCTGAATATGGTTCACCTAGCTAGAGGAAAAGCCTAGCTATTCAGGAAAGACATTCCCTGCTAGCAGTGGGGCAGTTTCCTTTCTGAAGAGGAAGCGAGGGCACAACTAGGCCTCTAAGCCTTCCTGGTTATGCCTTTTATCCAAATGAGCCACATTTAGGTTTCCGGCCTGTGGGCTTGTCAGGTGGAACTTCCAGAATGGAATATTATTAGATTTGTAGTCCAAAAAAATCCCAAATCAGCATGGGCTGAAATCCAGTAGTAGGTCACAACTGGAGTAGGCCTGTGGAATTAGTGGGAATTTGATGAGTCAGCACCTGTATAAATTCCATTGACTCAATACCCCTACTGTCGTTGTGACTTATTATTCAATCTCAGCCGTGGGCTGACAAATCCTTAATTTTCTCATTACCTCCAGGACAAGTCTCCTCCTGTCTCTTTTGTGGGTCACACTTGCAAAACATGCTTTTGTTTTTGTTTGGTTGTTTTGGAGCAAAAAATAACAGCCCAACAGTCTCTTTGCAAGATAAACCTAACTTGATTAGCATGGACAAGCCCATCAAAAATTCTCTGTCCATTGGATGGAGAAGAAACTCCAGCCTATTGTTGAAGGCCTGCCTCTTCTGGCCTGGTTCGTACTAATGAGGGCTGCAAAACCACCTGTTGTAATAAAATGAAACGCTAATAAATGCAGTGATTAAAAATGTTTCTTAAACCCTTAATTTTTAATTCAGTCTTTTATCTGACCCATAATGCTGTTCTGATGCAGTTTAAAAAAAGAGAAACTTTTTATAGATAGCTTCATAGAACTAAATAACTCAAAACAATTCTTCACCCTATACAGTAAATTATTTAATTGTTTTTATTGCTGATTTTGCCCCTAATCCTCAGAAGCTTGGTTCTCTCTCTTAATTAGCCTTTCCTCCCCACCTACTAATCATGATGTAGACTCATGCCAAGGCAGAAAGTAGCCATTTGACTTCTCTTTCTCCAATCATCTTTGAGGAGGCCACAGCTTTCCCACATCCATCATCATCTCATCCTCCTCTAACATGACTCAAGACAATGAGGCAGGCAAAATTTCTCTCTCTCTCTCTCTCTTTTTTTTACTGCATCCTGTGTCTATATTCTGACCTAGCTTAGAACAGCTAGTTACACATTAAATAAAACATTAAATTAAATATGAGCCTTAAATATTAAAGGTACGTGAAGGTGGAAGGCAGAGGGGGCGTGTGATTGCCTAAAGGGAGCTGCATGGCTACATAAAAGCTGCAACCATGGTCTTTTCAGACAAAGGCATTCTAACTGCTTCACATCTTGCTTTTTTGGAAAAACATGTATTATCATCCATGACAATTTTGGGGAAATGAACCAATTCTGATCCCTCACTGAAGGCTTTTGTGGAATCTGCTTCGTCATCGGAGAGCCATTGGAAGCCATGGGATGGGGTGGTGGTCCATAACTGAAAACTGCTGACATCAAGAGAGCTTTGATTTGAATGAATTGAATAACATTTGTCCAGTTTATTTCATTCAATTTGTTTTGTCATTTCATTTAATTTAAAGGATAATTACTATTTGATAAATTAAAAATAAAATATTATTTGCAAATAACCAGTCTTCAGTGAGGAGTGGTAGGTGTTTATAGCTCAATACTCAATAGATTTATTTAATTGTTAATTTTAAAAATCTAAATTTCAAAAATAAAGCATTCCCTAGACCAGTGGTCCTCAACCTTGGGCCTCCAGATGTTCTTGGACTACAACTCCCAGAAGCCTTCACTGCCACCTCTGCTGGCCAGGATTTCTGGGAGTTGAAATCCAAGAACATCTGGAGGCCCAAGGTTGGGGACCACTGCCCTAGACACTTGGGTTTTTGTTTTTTTGAAAGCATGCCTGAAAAGGACAAGAGGGAGGGGGCCAACCTGGCTTCTCAGGGGAAAGCATTTCAAAGCCTGGGAGCAGCCACTGAGGTGGCCCTCTCTCATCTCCTCACCAAGCGACGTTGGGAAGATGGCGGAACTGAAAGAAGGGCCACCCCAGAAGCCAGGAAGGCTCCTATGGAGTGATATGATCCTTCAAATAGTCTGGACACCAGCCATATAGAGCCTTAAAGGCAATAACCAGCACTTTATATTGAGCCTGGAAATAGATTGGCAAGCCAGTGAGGCTGTTGTAATGAAGGAGTTAAATGTTCCTTGTAACCTGTGATAGCCAGCAGCCTGT